TATCACTATGGTATATTCACAAAGTGAAGTGATTAATTAAAGAAATCAAAACTAATATTTATCTAGTATTTAGAAGTAATTTTTGCTAAGATTATAATTTAATAGTTTTATTTTATGCTCTTTTGACATGTAATTGTAGATAATACTTAAGAAACACTCATGTTCCTTTGAAGTAATATGAATTTTTGTTAATGTATTATATGGTATGCGAATTCGAAAAGAGATGTTAAAAATTTAACTCAAAAATTATATATGTTGGTCGATCACAAAAGTATCCATAAAGTATCATAATATTTAATTATTATCGAATACGTAGAAAGTGTATCCGATATGTATCCGACAAGTATCGTATTCGATACGGATACGCCAACCTCAACGAAGTATCCGTACTTCATAGCTTGGGATTGTATAAGAATAAAAGAAACATGTGGACCCCGCGATGTGACATAAAACCTAATGGTACTTTTTGTTATTATGGTAGTGTTTTTGACAATAATGTTCTTCGTCCAATGAAGTGTTTAATTTAATGCAAAGGCAAATTAGTAATTTTGGTAATAATCCCAATAGTGATAATTTGGACCCTTTTTAATACCACCTCCGGTGGGTTTATACTTTATATAAACTGACATATGTACTATTCAAATTGGGTCAAGGAAAGTCAAATTGTTTAATATTTCATGCTTATAAATGAATAAAACATGGGTTATGTGGTCTCCTGGACTATTTTGCCCAATCCCACCCATTAATACACCTTTTCCCCATCAACCAAACAGCACCTATGCACTATAAACAGAAATTGAGTTCCGGAAAAATTGTGATTGTCATAAGACATCTAAATTGCCTACCTTATTTGTGCTTATGTTATAATATGCATTTGCCTAGGTGCTCAGTGACTTACCTTCATTATAATATTATTAATGAAGTATGCGCGTATTAAGACCAAAAGCCAACAGCCATACATTATCCCAGTTACGTGATTGTAGTACAAATACATTGAATATTATAGATCTTTAAAGTGCTTTTGAACCTTTTCAATTCCCTTAAATCAAAGTTATAAATAATATGCTCCCCATTCATATTGATAACCAAGTGCAATCAACAAATATTGACACAGATAACAACCTAGTTGATTTGAAACTCATTTGAGAATAGTCTAAAAAGAATTTGAGAATCTAAAACTCTTAAAATTTTGAAGGCAAATTTTGGGATGACTCAATTTAAGCATAGTTTGGCTGCTAGCTGAATTAGTTTATTGCATTTACAAATGTAAATACTTCTAATTATTTTTAAATTTTGATTCATGAGAACTGGCTCAACCAGTGATGGAATAAATAAAATTCTTTAGCATATTTGACATCTGACTCCATGGAAATAAATAGGTCCTGCAGATGTCCAAAAATATCCTTGAGTTTAGAAAAAAAATAATATTTACAAGAAGTAAAATGAAATGTAAATTCAGAAAATAAAATGAATATACCACAAACACAAGCTTTTAATCATGGTCTAATGAGAGAAAATTTATCTACCATTACAGATAATTAATGGTAAATATACAAACAAAACAGGCAAATGGAATTATAAAAACCCAGACAAAAGCAGAGTAGGCCCATATCTGACAACAGAACAATTTAAAAGCTCAATATCCGAGATTCCGAGCAATTCCTTCCTCGGATAGAGCGTCACAGAAACAAGAAAGTTCTGGTTGCACATATGAAAATTATGTCTCTAAGAATCATTTGTGATCTAATTATGTCCAGCTGGGGAGAATAGCTACCTGGCCTTTAACTGCTGGGAGCATCCATCTCAACTGTAATGAGGCTAGTGAAAACAATGAAAATATATGCTGAGATTTAGGGAAGCCAACAAGAACGTGGCTTAAGGGATCTTTACCTTGAACACAACCTAACTGTGGAAATGTTGAAAGCAATGTGGTCTTGGCACATAACTCTCAGAGTGAACTGCCAATCAAGAAATGTGACCTTACCGGGGTTACATCGAATTTGGGTGACATTGAAGATGCTGGTGATGGAGAAAAATAACCATAGAATACAATGGGCTTACAATGGTAACCAAGAGAGGTGTCTGCTGGCATTATGGTTAATTAATTAACATAGATTAATTTAATGTTAATCTTAAGAGATCAAAGGATATCATGGGCTTTATAATAATCATTTAGGGCGAAATTGAAAATGAGAAGTCTTTCAAGTTAGCTGACGTTTATAAATTCTTTATTTTGGGTTTTGGCAATATCAGGTCATGAAATAACACATTCTCTGGCATGAGTATTTCACTTATTTTTTGGTATTGGACTCTGCATTTGTCTGCGTTTTGCATACTGGGCATGTCCTACATGGATGAAACAATAGGCCAGTTGTGTTGTTGCTTAACACTGGTAGTTAACAGACATTTTCAAGCAACCATGTAAAGTGGTTTTAATTGTTTTCGGAAGGCAAAAAATATATTCAACTTATTTGGTCATCCACAATTTTATGTGACCCCTTTTGACCTTGCGTGTCTGATTTTCTTTCTTTTCTTGTTTGGTAAATGGTCTGATTTCATGATGCCATTTGTGTAGATTTTACGTTGCTGAAGTTCTTCTCGCATTAGAGTATTTACACATGCTCGGGGTTGTCTACCGAGACTTGAAACCAGAAAATGTAATGGTTCGGGAAGATGGTCACATCATGCTTACAGATTTTGACTTGTCACTTAGATGTGCTGTGAATCCAACATTGCTCCAATCATCTTCACCTGTTGTTGAGTCCCCAAAGAGGGTTTCCAGTCCATGCTCAGAATCTAGCTGCATAGACCCTTTCTGCCTCCATCCATCCTGGCAAGTCCCCTGCTTCACCCCCAAGTTTCTCTCTGCTGCAGCAAAAACCAAAAAGCTTAAATCTGAACTAGCTGCCCAAGTTAGCCCACTGCCTCAGCTTGTAGTCGAGCCAACCAATGCACGATCCAATTCCTTTGTAGGAACGCACGAATACTTGGCTCCAGAGATAATCAAAGGAGAAGGTCATGGGAGTGCAGTGGACTGGTGGACCTTTGGAATCTTTCTCTATGAGCTTTTATATGGCAAGACACCCTTTAAAGGTCAAGGAAATGAGGATACACTGGCCAACGTGGTGTCAAAATGTCTCAAGTTCCCCGAAAGCCCTATAGTTAGTTCTCATGGAAGAGATTTGATCAGACGGCTGCTGAAAAAGGAACCCGAGAATAGATTAGGTTCTGCAAAAGGGGCAGCTGAGATCAAACAGCACCCATTCTTCGAGGGTCTGAACTGGGCTTTGGTACGATGTGCGACACCACCGGAGCTGCCCAACTTCTATGATATGGGGAATGTCACTTCAGATTCAGCTTCCCAGAATAAAGAGAGTACCAAGTGTCTGAAAGATCCCAACGGTACAGGGGAGGATATAGAGTTTGAGATGTTTTAGCCTTGAAAGTATGATGTGAGAAAAGGAAGATGTTTGATTTTCGTTTTCAACTGGAGATCTCTCATCCTTGTTGTAACTGATATGTAGCATATTGATATAGCATATGGTGTATACATGTAATGCAGAACAATTGTGGACAGTTAAAATGAGTACCAAATACTTACCACTGATTTTGAAACCTGAGACTCACTCGTATGTAGGTTTGTAAAACAAATCAAGCTATCTGGATTCGAAACTGACTCTTACTCTCAATTGATTTAGATCACAATTGGATCTGATCTACATAATAAAGTGATAATCTTGGATATAACAAATTATCACGATGAAATGTAATGAACACGTGTTTGAGACGATTTTTTTTTGGTGAATAGGTAAAGAATAATAAGTTGTGCTTGAAAGTGGAATGTAGCCAAGAGTAGCTAAAACTCCAATCTTAACTATTTTGAAAAGCCAATCTCCAAAATTTTTCTCCAATCCACTCTTTATCCCACTAGTTATTTTAGCAAATCCATTTTTCACTCGTTAGGAGTAGCGAGCAGATTTTGGCTTAGTATTTGTTCTTTTGCGCCAAAAATGGTCTTCATCTTCTTTGGCTGTGGCTTCACCGTCTTTAGGTATGGAGCTCTTTCTCTCTGTCTCTCTCTTTGTTGGAGTCGACAAAAATCTAAGGTGATAGATTTTGGTTCATCCTCACCCAGGTGTGGCGTCCAATTCATCCAAGGTCATTCCAATTCTTCCATCAGTGCTCCATCAATTAAGGTTTTTTATTCCCATTTTGTTTTATTGGTGGGACATGCGAAGAATGAAACAATTGCTCAAACCCCCAATTTTTTCGATGAATTTTCTTTCATTTGCCTTCGGCCGTCAAATCAATAATATGAGGACCTTTTTAATGTTTCATTAGTATGTTGCATTCGTCCGTCAATCTATAATTTTTCATACGATAATATATATATATATATATATATATTTGTTCATGATACATTTTAGTTATGGTTGTTAAAAAAATACGACCATTGAAAATATGATTGTTAAAAATGTGACCATAATCATTATAAAGTTTAAATTTTGATGATGTGGCATAACACACTATCGTGTCATGTCAACAATATGATGATGACATGGTATGCTACATGATACTTTTGATTTAAATTATTAAAATTTAATTAAAATAAAAAATGTACTTAGAACGAACTTATAAAAAATTGACTTTCTAAAATAAAGAATAATATTTAAGTATTTTATGCAGAAGAATGTAGTTGGAGTTGCTTTAACTATCTTTTTGGCACACACAGCTTGATATTTATTTCTTCAGGACCAGGAGCTTGTACCAGCCTAAATTCTTATTGCAGGTACACAGGAAAAGATATGAGGCCATTGTACACTAGACTGGCAACCACTATAAAATTACCATATTGCCACTACCCTCTCCCTCGTCTTCTCTCTCTGGAATCCCCATTCTTTCTCTCCTTTCCTCCTCCAAAGCAAAACCCGTCTTTGAAAAATTCGAACTACCAAGTGAGACAAACACGCAGAGCTAGACCCATAATAAGAAAAGCATTAATGGCTTCAGCGACTGAGGCAGAGGCACAGACTAAACCATTCTCAGTCCTCTTTGTGTGCCTTGGCAATATCTGTAGAAGCCCAGCTGCTGAAGGTGTCTTCAGAGACTTGGTCAAGAAAAAGGGTCTTGATTCCAAGCTCACCATTGACTCTGCCGGTACCATCAATTACCATGAGGTATCTCTGTCTGTGTGTGTTTGTGTGTGAAGTCTTGGGATTTTAATACGTGATTTCAATGATTATGTAGAGTTGTGGGGTGTGATTTGATTTGAGTTTCTTGGAATTGTTGTTTTGTGGTGGTGTTTCCTCAAGGGAAATGAAGCAGACCCAAGAATGAGGGCTGCCTCTAAAAAGCGTGGAGTCGAGATAACCTCGATATCAAGGCCAATAAAACCGTCGGATTTCAGAGACTTCGATCTGATACTTGCAATGGACAAGCAAAACAGAGGTGTGATGATTTGAGTTGGTATACTCGAATTACGGCATTGAAATATATATATTTTTCATCCTTTTGTTCTGCGTGTGTTGAATAGAATTGGATGGTGCTCTGTGAAATGCCCATCCACTATTGTTTGCTTGCGTGTGTCTGTGAGAGAGAGAGAGGGAGAGAGAGTGTGTGTTGGGGGGGGGGGTTGTTTGTGAGTGACATATTTGTGTCTATGTTTGGCTGTTAGTTTACTTTTCTTGAATTTTCCTGATTGTGTGTAGAGGATATACTTGGGGCTTTTGAGAGGTGGAGTCATAGAGAGACCTTACCTGCTGATGCACATAAGAAGGTTGGTTGAGTAGTGTTAGTGTAATAGTGTATTTTGGATTGCTACTCTTATATTTGGGTACTGAATATGCAGGTTAGGTTAATGTGCTCCTATTGTAAGAGGCATAATGAAACCGAAGTCCCAGATCCTTACTATGGTGGATCACATGGCTTCGAAAAGGTAACGCATAACTGATTCTTCTTTCTGTTGGAATGAGATATGATATCCGGAACAAATTATATTAGTTATTTTGAAAACCTAAGGAATCCAAAAATGTTTATATGAAATGTTCCTGATGAGTTTTTACTTTCACAACTGCTTTCTTGGAAGTTTTAAGAGGTGAGACATGATTGACATCATACAACAACTCGACTCAACTCATTTCATCATGGCTCTATATTGGCTTTCGTCAGGATTTCCTCACAATTATAAGATGCATCACCTTACATGACGAAATGTACACAGACCTTTTAGAACAACATATGAACATAACAATTATGAGGAACTCATGTATCTAGCAGCCCCTGAGCATGGAACACCCACTTCCCATGGATGTATCGGCAAAACCAATGTTAAACAGTAGCACGTAGACATGACAAGGATATGACAAAAAAATACATGTTTTATAGTGTATTATTGTTTATTTATGACAAACATTACTGTATGATGGGTAATAATTTTCTTTGGCTATATCCTTAAGTTTGTTAATTTTGGATTCTAATAGTCAATAATCATGCTTATAGGGAAAGTGAGAACAAGGACCATGTATCTGTGTACGCATGTGTGTACGAATATGGATATGCATATACACACGAATTGGTTTTTAGCATTACCCTTTACCATGTCTCAATGCATAATTTTACCGAAAAATTTCCTGTGTTAGTTTTGCGAATATCACTAAAGGTTTTTCCTAGTTTTATGTAAGTCATTGGTTAATTTTCCTTTAAATCTTGTACTTTTTCCATGGTTTAATAGTGATGCTGAATAATTTGAGGGCTTAATGCATATGCATGTTGCCTAGGTTACAGAGAATGCCTACATGTGAATGTTTATCCTCCTTTATGTCTCTAAATAGAAGGTCGTTTGAAGGAGAAAGGTTTTAGTGATTCAGTTGTGGCATATGATTGGAACAAGTCGTTTAAGAGGCAGTAACCTGGGATGTTTAACACCATGCACTCTCTTTCTTAGAGTGCTTTGCAAGTTTGTTTTAATTGGGATCTTTGTTTTATCCTTGTATGCCTCACGAGTAGCTAAACCAAACATCATCTGGATCTCACTCTAGTAACATTTGTTGGTTTTGGTCCAATGGTATTCTTTACCTTGTAAAGACTTTGCCCTTTTGAGATCAAAGGATCATGTCCCTCTCCCCCCTCCCCTCCCACCAAAAAAATAAAAAACTAGACATAGTTCATTAGAAACTACCCTTCAGTCAACATAATATTGGGCTCTGCTAAACAAATTACACCATGTCAGTGCACCTTACACCTTCTGAAATTTGTGTTCCTTGGTATTTTCATGCTACGGTGCTACCTGGTTCTTTTTCCTAGTTGGCCTTCTTAACATCCTTGTTGAGCCTTAAATTTTTGCCATATTACTTTTTCTGCTTTGCCTTGTGCTGCTGTCTGTTTATGCTGCTTTTGTGGCTTCTCTAGTCCCTACTTAATCTATACGTTCAGCTTGTGCACCTTATTTACTTTAAACATCAATGTTTATATTTCATTTTATTGTCAACATCTCAAACAAAGAATTCTAGGCCCTTCTCTTGTTTTTTATGAACTCCAGAAATGCTAGATTGAGCTACAAAGCACAACGGTGCTATGATGGATATAAATCCTCCCATCATAAGATTTCCAAATTACTAAATAGATTCTGTTAATTTTTTTGATTTACTAAATAAAAAATCAAGATTACTTCTGTCAGTATTCTGCCTTTTTTTGCTTTCCACGCGTTTCTTTTGATCATATTCACAACCTGGAGTGCAAAAATCTAAAGTGCAGTGTAATGTGGTTGCGAAGCTTAAGCAAATTTCATTGGGAACTTATTTACTATTTACAAGATATGATAACAAGCAAATCCCATCTCGTTGGCAGGTTTTAGATTTACTCGAAGATGCTTGTGAGTCGCTATTGGGAAGCATTTTGGCAGAGAACAGTCACCTTTTGGATTCTTAGCCCCTCTTGAAAGTGATGAACCAGATCCACTGTTCTGTTGTGCATAGAAAATTGTTTTCTGCTAAAAGATCCCTTGTTCATCATGCCAAACCCACATCTAACTATAGTGAACCCATTGTGGTCACTGTGGCGGCCTATTGTTTTTCTGATATTATTCATTGATTGGGATGTCCTTTTGAGCAAATAGAACTTTGAGATACTTAAATTCCCGATGGAAAAATATATGTATGCACTTTTCATTCAGTTGGGTCGTACATTGTTATATTACCCTATGTTTTGCATCTTGGTTGGTATATGAGGAAACCATATGTCAAGTGGGTCCACCCCCACCCCCTCCCCCTCCCCCCCCTTTTTACTTTTCTCTCTTCCCCTTTTTTCTCTTGTTTTGTTGAAACAATTGACTTTTATTTACCAACAAGATATGATGAAGCTATTGATCCACTGATTAGCGTTCTCTTTTTTTTTTTTTTTACAAAAATTATTGGTTGCTTTTTCTTCGAGCGATGTTAAGTATTGTTTGGTGGTAGTTAATTCCGAATCGACAGAAGCTTTGCTCTAGCATGCACTGATAAAAGATTTCACTAAGCTCTGGATATATGCAATATATATATATATATATATATATATATATAGTGAAACAGAAGCATGAGGAATTAAAAAAGTGTGGCCAGCAATATATCTGGAAAAAATCAGCACTCAATGAATATCAAAGGATGTTGTCTTAAAAGCGCCTTGCTTGCCCCAAAAAACAATTATGTTATAAGCACTCTGGGGAGGAATCCTCCAAGCCATTAGTTGGATTCTACTTGTAAGGATAGTTGTTGCTATTGAAAGACTATGGCCTCGACAATGTAAGCAAAAACTGTGTTCATATGCCAAAGCAGTTGTAATCAATGTTATCAGAACCGGACTAGTCATCGAACCGGCAAAAAAATCAGGTCAATGGTTCACTGGTTCAACCATTAGCTCAACTGGTCGGACCGGTCATATAATAAAAAAATAAAAAAATATATATAATAATTATAAAACTTAATAATTTAGCTAAAAAATATAAAATATGTATAAAATACATAAAATTTGTCATAAAATTAATGAAATTAAGTAACAAAGTGGGGGTTATTGTATTTTAAAGCAAAGTAAAGAGGTTCAAGTAAATTATAAAGAAAAAGAAGGGGTGTCATTTATAATTTTTCCAAGAATAAGATTAAAAAAAAATTAACTATTTACTGATTTAGGACAAAAAAAATTTATTTATGTAATTTAATTTTTAAAAACCGGCCAATTTTCCGGCCGATTTTTAGCTGGTTTGCTTCCTTAAGCGATTCAACTAAGGAACCGTACCGATTAGAGTTCCGGTTCACAGTTGAACCGGTCCGACCAGCTGGTTTGGTCCGGTTCTGATAACACTGGTTGTAACACAGTTGTTTAAGTAATGACATAACATCTTAAGAGAGAGAAGGGAAAGGGTCTAGGGTTCAAACTCACTTTTACAAATCTCAAAAATAAAAAACCTGGAGAGAGAGAGTTCATCTATTCCGGGTGAGGGTTAAGCCACCAAAAACTCAAACATCCACCCGAGGAAGTGAGGGAGAGAGAATTGGCTCAGGCACACGAAGATGTGATCTAATGGATCTTTCAGTGTGAAAGATAGTTAATGCTTCTTCCTCCCCCCCCCCCCCCCCCCCCCTCCCCTCCCCTACCAAAAACCCAATAAAAAAAAAAGGCTTCTTTTTCATCAAACAACTACTAGAGTTTTGACATGCCTACTGCTCATTTTTCTTTTCTCAGCTGGGATGCATCAAGCATTCTATGCAGATGGTTAGGAATTTAGAGAGACAAGGAGCGAAAAACGCAGGCCGCTATATTCTATAACTTTGGATCCTCCATTAAAGTCCATAATGCGTGTAGATATGTAGACTATTAAAGAAATATGTATCTCCATACAGAAGAAAAGCCATTGACTACCATTTCTGAAGTTACTATGGAGTATTTTATCTATACATCAACTGAAAATTTTAATACACCAAAAGGGAAAAAATAAAGAAATGATGATACCAGACTGAACCGGCGTGTACAATGCTCCCACTTCATTACCTTCCTTTTAATTGGGAATTGTGACGTATACTCTCTCCATCGTAGTAACACCATGGCAAGCTGCTTTGAAAATCAGCTGATTCTCACATATACAAGGCATCTCAAAGCTTTGCATCATAAAATCATATTATGTAGCTCTGTTTCAGTCCCTTCCGGGAACGCTTTCTCCTTGGATTAGCACTGAGCATGCAAGAAAATGCACTTACAAGCTCTGAATCTTCTAAATTTACCAGGATGTTTGCTGCATTTGGGTTGGCAAGGAGGAGCTTCGCCACAAGATATCCTGCGATTGACCAGGTTTGAAATAGGCGTGCCTGTTTTCCAATAAATCTTGCTCGCTTAGTGTCATAATACTCTGGCCACTTGTCTCTAGATATGTGCCTCTCAGCAATCTTCACAGCATTTTCAGCAATCCAGGGTCTTTTCATCTTTATGCTTGCCACAGTAAGCTGAAAGAAACACAGGCAGACTTGTTTTATTATATAAAGATATTTCTGTCAACTCCAGATGCATTACTTACAGATTAACTACATGTGGTATGACCTAGTTACATATTGTCTTCTAAAACTTTTAGAATCTAAAAATAACCATATGTGATTTTGGACCGAAGTGAAAACCCTAACTTTGTTGACAGACATACAAAATAGACTCTTCCACCTCTTTTTATGATTAAACCACCATAGTCAGATTGAATGCCACAATGTATATATGTCCATCTGTATAGTTTTCTTGCTTGCACGGAGAGAGAGAGATAGACTCTTCCACCCCTTTTTATGTTTAAACCACCATAGTCAGATGGAATGCGACAATGTATATATATCCATCTGTATAGTTTTCTCTCTCTCTCTCTCTCTCTCTCTCTCTCTCTCTCTCGAAAGAGAGAGATAGATCCAGTACGTTTCTGGTTCTTCTCTTCTCCTCTTCTGCTCATGACAGCTTCCTGAACCACAACTGGTTCTTGATTCTTTCAAGAAACCAGATTAGATCTGAGTTCATTTAAAAGATATAGAGGTCCCATGAGCGCTACTTGTTCTAAGATGATGAGGAAAATTAGAATCTGAAAGGCAATCTACTATCAACGTCATCATCCTCCCGATTTCTGTACATCAAAATGGCCACATGATTGTATTGAGGTTATCATGTGGGCATATTTGACAGTTAGTTGATCTAACCAGATACTCACGTTTGGCCTATTTGACAGTTAATTGATCTAACCAGATACTCATGATGGGCCTATTTGAAAGTTGATTGATCTAACTAGATAGGATAGGATAGGTTAAGGCCTTACTCTATTGCATCCTATCTTCTGGAATAGCGGCCTTTGGATACATAAGCCGGCTGGACTAGAAAAAAAAAAGACATCACTTTTTTCTTTCTTATATTTGTATGTTTTGATCGGACAGTCACCCCGTAGGCCTCCTTGGGGGCACTAATAATTCTTTTCTACATCCTATATTTCACACTTAAGTTGCTATACTTCAGTTGCTTCACTCATGTCTTAATTAAATCCTCGTTCCATGGGTTTTGGTTGCTCATCCCTGACATGTTGAGTTGACACCACCAATGTAATAAATGATCAATAAAAAAGTTTCATAACAATTAAATTGAGTTTTTCCGAGTAATAGCTGTGTCATGCAATTAAGCTCTCGTACTAAACCTGAAACAAATCAAACTAACCTGCCAGAGCAAAGTGGGCCAAGAACCTGCATTGTGGTAAGACCATGGCCTGTATCAAAAAGCACCATCAAAAGATAGGTGGCTGGAAAAAAATAATAAAACTAAGAAATCAAATTCACTTAAGAGACACAAAAATGAGGACATTACGTGTTCTTGGGATCACTTCCTGTAATGATCCGCCATTCCTGTCCCTCGAGAGCAGGATAACATATCTTCAGTGGCATATCAGCCACCAAATCTGCCCACTTTGCTTCAAAAAGATCTAATATGGCATGTGACTGATCTGTTGTTGCAAGACTACTTATAATCGACCATAAGTTTCCTAGAGAAAAGAAACGAAAGTCCATGTGAGCTGGCTGCAGGTTTCCAATCAGGTAGCCTCCTTTATTGGGCATCCATTCCACCAACCATGGAGGAATCTGATCTGGATAGATATTGAACTTGTTAACTGCATCATATGAGTATTCCTCTGTCTTGTAACGGTAGATTTCATTGAGTTTTTTCATATCGATCCAGTAGTACTCCCTGATGTGGAACGACAATGCAACTAGACGATTGTTAAGTGCTCTGATAAGGTCAACTGATCCCTCCTCAGGAGCAAGCATCTCACGTGCACAAAGTAAGGCAGAATAGAACAATGCCTGAAAGAACATGCAACATCACATCATAAATTAAGCCATCTGTCTTTGTTAAAGAAGTTCTAAAAAATGTAGGCCATAATCTTCAAGCTTCTTATAAAACAAGAGACAAGTGCTTATGCCATTTGACCTAAAAGTTTGCTACCCTTTGCAATGTAAAGCTGATTCATAATTTTCTTCCTGTATGGTTTGACTGCATATTTGCTTTATAATGGTTTCACTTCCCTACAAATCAAACATTCGGCGTGCATGATAGGTTCTAGCTTATAAGGTAACTGCCCCCCGACTGAAAATAACCCCCCCCCCCCCCTTTCTTCTTTTTTGCGGGGTGTGTGTTTGGTGGAGGGTGTCTCACAGGACAAAGGCTTAAGCAAAGCCATGTACTATGGCTATCTAACCACTTCATGTTATCCCTTCTCTCGGTACGTTACTCAATTAGTATACGTCCATGGAAATCGATGTTTGCTATGGCAGTTGATGTTCAGATAAAAAGCGGATTGTCATGGGATCGTAAATGAATCCATCGCATCACAAAAAAGGGTTAAATCTCTATATAAACAAAGCCCATGTGTTTCCTCCTCCAATTCAACTAGTAAAAAACTATCCACATCGAAAATGACGAGGGGGTTGAGACGAGAGGACGGAAGATAGGTACAGGGAGTTCTTTTTGAAAGAGCAATGGCAAAGTTGTCATTTTAATCTGAGTCAGAGATGGAACCAAACACGAAATCCCTACAAACCTGCATTGTCTGCAAGTCTGTCTAGTTAGACAACTGCAGATTTGTGGTCCCAATCTCCCAGAGTACTACAGTAAATGAATAGATTTCTTACTACACTATTATAGACGACTTATAGGCTATAATGAAATTTTCTTTGAACATATATTTGAAAATTAGTGGCATACCAGATATTTACATATGTGTGTAAATACATATAAACCCAAAGTTACAGATGAGTATAACCTGAATTTCCAGGGGATGACCATGAATTCCCATGCGGCGATCTATCATGCAAGAACCATCTGTTACCAACAAAGTTGGAAACATATCAAAACCATCAGTAAGACATAGCTTCAGAATCATCTTAATTCCAGTTTGCACGTCAACCCTCTCCTGCACAGAAAGGTCTCCAGAGCATTTCCCATACGCCCGTAACAGTATAATCCACCACAATCCTGAAATACAAATTCTATGAGGTATCGGTACAATGAATATTCAGACCACATATTTCGTACTACATACCTAACGGAACAGAACAATTAACTTACCAGAATCAACTGGCGCAACACGACCAATTGCTGCCTCACCAAAGTCAGGATCTAACACCTCTTCAGTTGCAGATTCATCACCATCAAGTGGAACAGTGCGCACCTTGAAGCTGGCAGGCATTAATCCTTGACCAGGACTATGGCAATCAATCGTTTTCTCCCAACTCTGTCAAGACAAAAAAAGATTGTTACTGAGAGGAAAACATAAAGATAGTACAACATTAATTTTTTTTAAGGTATGTATACATCATTTTTACCAAGTACATGATGCAAACAAGTAAAATCCATGCTTCCAAGGGAGTGTTACAGTGTGAACTTCCCTTTTTCTAGATTATTTATCTCAATGGTTCTCAAAATCTTTAGAAGGCGGTAAAAAATTACAAAATCGATAGAAATACTCCAAGGAAGAAGAAAGACCTCATTTTTTTTTCAAAAAATCTAGTAAAGTATATGAAAGGATAGATAGCACATTGCTCCAGGGAATTCAAGACTATAAAGCGCATTATCCACAAATACTGTAGTTACGCGAGACATGAAAGATCAGGTGGTGACACGCAAGAGAAGTATTTGGGGAGATGCAAGTATAATCTCTATGCTGAATATAAAGCTTCACTTTGAACACAGAAAGTGGAAAAACTATTTGGACAGAAAAGAATAATTTATTTTAGGCATAGTTTATGAAAAGTCAGATTGCTTTCCAATTCAAAGTCATCAGTGACTTGTTACTGTGAACTTAAGTCAAAAATGGTGTAAATGATGCAGACCAGTATGTTATGGTTAAACGGGTTTTCAGACTGTAGGTGTGATATTACCTGCAACTGAAGGGTGTGAAGAATGAAGTTCCGTACAATATCATACTCTCCTTTCAAAAGGAAAGCTATTCCAGAAGGTATGAAGTCACGGATGAAGACTTGATCATAGTTAAGAGTGTTGGAGTCACTTGAATCATTAGCAGCAATCGTTCCAACAGGATTACCACAATAATAAACCATGGATGCTCGTAACAGGTTCCATGCTTCGTCCTCAATGGAATCTATGCCAACCTCACGAAGTGTCTTGCTAGTTGTTCCAGCTGTAGCCAAATCCCTACTAGATACGAGGCCTCCATTTTCATTTTTCAATGGTCGAGCAGCCTCGAAGTTTTGAACATCTGCAACATTGGAGATTCCATTAATCCACTTTCCATTTCCTTCTTCAGCAATTGACTCACTAATATTTTCAGTCTGTCGGCATTTGCAACTAGAAGACTCCTCCCGGCCATTTAGGTTCCCTCTGCGGTAAATACTATCTACACTATGAATTGCATAGAACCTTTTGCAACTTCGAAGAGTCCTTGAATACTTAATTCGGGTACATGCATAATCTTTTTCCATTCTACTATTTACATGGTTTGTAGAGAAAAGCAATGAATTTGACTTCTCAAAACATGAACCCATATAATGTAACGGAGGCGCTGCCCCTGATAGAACATGTAGAACTGCTTCTGATGTACCCATTTATTACCAACCAGATATCAGATTGAAGTGATGATGCCTTCAGCTCAATAGATCTGATGACAGCCTATTCTTTAAATTAGTGCTCCTACTCAAAAACATCAAATTCAAAAGATACATTGAGCTTAAACATGCGCGCAAATTAACACAAGATAAATCATAAGTGCAAGAAAACGGATCCATGAAGCAGGAAAACATACAATCATCGTGTTCCACTATGATCTATAAAGCCTCGTCCCACAACTAAATCTTCTACTTTCTACTATCTATAGTATCCTATATTTCATTTGGAATCGGCTATCAAAAAGAGAAACAGAACCTTTCAAAAAACATACATACCCAGGTAATTCTACACTGATAAAAGCTCCATACTGCATCAAATTCAACCAACACACACACACACACACAGAAACAATACAAATCTCAACAAGTTCTTTCAGTGAATCCAGAGAAGTGGTTTTAGATTTGACAACTCAAAACTAGAGTTCTATATGTAATAGATTTCACATTAAAAGATTAAGGAATTGAATTTTCTTGTCTTTGTGTTCCGTTGAAAATTAGTAGGAGATTACGGTTTTAGTGGAACACACAGAGAATTCATTTCCATGGAAACTCAATTACTCATCAAGAGAAAGTTAAAAATTGATAACACATAAACGTGATTTACCGTTGTTCTGAGGATCTATGACCACCTTTGGGCTATTTTCGTTGAAAAATTCACGGTTTTGGGCAATTTTCTCGGGAAAATCCACGGGCTTAGCCAGACAGACAGGGCGTGTTTGGGTAACGGGGTAGGATAGGATAAAAATTGTTTTTTTTGGAAAATTTGGAAGTCGGTCCTCTTATGTGGATTTGTTTGGAGATAAGTCTAATAAGAAAAATTATTGGAATCTAAGTCCGTGTTAAAATTTATATGTAGGTACTTAAGTCCATTTTTTTTAAATCTCAATATTACCTCTAACGGTATTAATTTTGTCAAATTATAGAAAAATAGGTTAAATCTTTAAAGTATATATAGAAATCTTAGTTTGAGTTATATATAGAAATCATTTTTCATTAAAAATCCTAATAATTAAATAAAGAATATATGGAATGTATATACTTTGCTAGCTATATATAGAAACCTAATTGAGGAATTAATTCATATCACAAGTTTTCTTTATCAATTCAAATTCAAATTCGAATTTTTATTCAATTTTAGTATGTTATACTTTTGAATAACAAGTTTTTGTGTTTGGCAGGTGGTTTGAAGGTGATAGAAGCAGTTGCGAGACTCTGTGTTACTAATGATGTTATTGCCAAGGTTACTATTTAATGATTATTACATACAGTAACCAATCGTGCAATAATATTACAAATTCACTTGATAATGAATAATTACAATGGATTTTAACATATCAATTCCACATACAACACAATTTTAGCATTCTAAAATTGAATGGTTATGTTAGTTGGAACATTTTTTAACATGTTACTGTTTGAGTTACTATTGCACTTAAAAATTAGACAGAATTTCCTTTGTTTTCCAAACATTCTATTACAAACAAATTCCCAAACTTACATCAACATATCAATTTAATATCAAGGTGTAACATCCAAACCACAATTCTACATGTTTGAATACTCCATTTAAACTAAGTACCAATCAATAAACAATTACAACCAACTTCTAATCGAGCTTACGAGTAGCTAAAGAATGAATAGCTTTACAACATCACCAATTTTTATTTTTTTGGTATCTTTTTTTCAATCTTGATCTTGTCTCGTAGTCTTTAACAGTTCATGCATTCCTATGGTTTATGAATGTAGTCACTATATGTATTCGTAGAACGTTAAATTGTGCTAATTTCAATTTTTTTTTTATTTTCTGTAATTGTCATCAACCTGTAGCACAACATTGTAATATTAATATAAATATATTGGACAATTATAATATCAATATCCTACACAAACATATAGTATAATGATACAAAATAATAACACACAACATATGGTAACATACACAATAGTAACATATATAATATAGTAGCATGATACCAAGCATAATGGATATAAACTAATTGTGAAAAATTTTGTGCAAAAGTAACATTAACAATTCCACCAAATTACATTATGTAAATATAGTAACATCAGGTTAGTAACATCAAAACACACACAATTCAATAACATCATTTTCAATACACAATTTCATTACAAATTCATTGTGTTCCTTTTTTACATTTAAAATCAAACATCAACCCCTGAACTCTTCATAAACAACATATAGTGCATTAAAAGTAAAAACCAAAAAGGGAGTTGATCAGTAATATGTCTATAATAACATCAATTTGTCAGTACCATCCACAGTACCCAAAGCACAAGCATACATTGGAAATATAAATTCAATTTTTCAGTTATCACATAGTAACATTAAAAGGTTCAATGTACTCTTGAACCAATGGTTTTCAAATTTCTTAAACAACGAAGAAAACAACAAAAATTTTACACATGTAATTATATAATAGACTTTTAATTCAGTAACTACATTTTTCATTATACAATTGTTTCCATTGGAAATCCATTGAGTCCCAAAGTTATAATTTTTGGAATGTAAATAACAGTGTTTAAAAGCAACTTGAATATTTTTTTGAGGAAACTTGTGATATTTTCTTTTTCGTAACCAACAGATTGTGCATTAAAAGTAAAAACCAAAGGTTGTGATCAGTAACACACGTGCAGTAACATCATTTTCATAGTAACATCTATAGTACTTAAGCACATCAATCCATTGAAATTAAGAAATTAATTTTTCATATTAACATAGAGTAACATGATATATTTCATGTTACTTTAAAACAATGGTTTTTGAATGTCTTGAACAAGGCATAAAACAACAAAAAAATGTTCACATGTAAATATATAGCACATTAAATTAGTAACACAAACATGAATAGTTTCATCCCAATTGCTATATTGTATTCATAATAATATCAAATTTCAAATGGTTATAGTAAACATACAATTCTAAAATTTAAAATTTAAAAATTCTCAATTGTAGCACACTGTCAATGCTTGAATTAGGACACTCAACACCGATCAATAACATCAAGATATTTAAATTATGAGATAAATTTATTCAACTCTTCACATAGTAATCTCATATATTTGACAAAAACACAACTAACGAATTTCAACTGTCAAACACATCAAAAAGAATGACAAAAACAAAATACATAACACTTTTATTATAGTAACAATCCATCTTAATTTTAATGTTATTAATGCAAAAATTAAAAAAAATTAAAAAAAAACTCAAATGACAGTAAGAACGACACATCAGGCAATGAGTTTTCTAATACCCAAAAATATACATTAGCATTCATCTAAAATCACATACCTTTCAATCTTTTTATGAATCCCAAAGATTGTTGATGATGATTTGAATGCAGAGACAACAACGATAACTTATTCAATAGAGTCCAAATTAAACTTTAAGAGTATATTCAAATTTTGCTTTTATGGTATGTAACTTTTTTGAAATTTGAATAGGATTGGTTTGGGTAATGACAGTTATTGGTTTTCAGGGAAGAAATTTATGGAAGATTTGATGAATATTGCCGGATTTCAAGGCTTGAAAGAAAGGGAAGTTTTGGTTTACAGTGAGAGAAATAGAGGGTTTTACCATCTGAGAAAGAGACGGCAAATTGGATGTCGTTTATGTTTTTCTAAAAAATAAGGGTACAACAGTAAACTTGTCAAAAAATGGACTTATAATCAAATAAGTTTCTTTACCGAACTTATCTCCAAACAAGTCCATCTAAGGGGACTTACCCCCAATTTTCACTTTTTTTTATATTCTAATCCATCCGAGCCAAATTCACTCGTCTATTTTAAAACCCTAACCCAAGGTTATATTCAATCCTAACATTTGTTTGGGAAACAAATGTACAATTCAGTGAGCTCCATAGATTACACAAATAATTTTATCATAATTTTTTATTCTACTCATGACTCTATCCATTCCAATTCAATTCAAACCAATCCTATCTTATATTTGGTTTACCCATCCAAGCCTAATAAAATTCTACATTTTCCACATATACATAAAAATATAAAATAAGAAAAGTTAAAAATATATATATATATATATATATATATATATATATATATATATATATATATATATATATATATATATATATATATATATATATATATATATATATATATATATATATATATATATATATATATATTTTGTATTTTATTTTTCTAAACAAATCAACACTTTATTTCATTTTTTTCCAAAAAACTCAACACTTTTTTTTTTGGTTTTGCAGCTATGAATACTGTGATGTCTGCTATGCTTTTGCTGATCTTCTGTGATGCTGAGTGGTAGGATGTGGCTGTGGCTGTGTTTGCTGGGCTGTCTGAAGTTGAGAAGTTGTAGAGGAGGCGGGGCTCTCTAAGGCTCCTGCTGATTGCTGGTGGAGGTAATAGCTCTGCTTAATACTGCAAGGAGGTGCTGGTGTGGATGGTGCAGGAGCTGGAGTTTTGGAGAATAGTTTTAAATGGCCTAATCCTTTTGAAGGATTAAAGCCATCTCCTGTATTTTGAATTTTAAAATTTTTATTCTTTGATTCTTGTAATTCATTGATTCAGGAAAAAAAAATTTTCTTTTCTTTAAAAAAAAAGAAAAAAGAGAATAACATCAAGCAACATTATACTGGGAATTTTATTGATTTAAAATTGGATTACACCTAACTAGTGGGAATACCGCTTGATGCAATCAAATTATATGAATATTAAAGAAAATAAACCAAAATGCATGATTTTTTTTTAACAGCAAATTTTATTGATATACTTCAAAATTTACAAGAAGCAAATTTTTACAAGACACAACAAAGCCAAAAGATGGCTTTAATCCTTCAAAACATAACAAAAGAACAGATTTCATCCTTAGCAGCATACAACCCTCCATTCCAACATCTTTCCTATGTCACGCAAGCAAAGCTGTAGCAGAGCATCCATATATGTAACACAAGGCTGAAACCAACCAAACACTCCCATCAACCTTTGTCATCAAAAAGACCAAAAAACAGAAAATTCTATTTAAGAACAAAAAAACAGAAAACTGTTACAGGAAAAAACAGATTTTCTGTTATAGAACAGAAATTCTGTTACACTCTAACAGGAAAAAATAGATTTCATATTTTCATTTATACCTCTGAAATTCAATCTAAACAAACTACGTTATCACAAATAAAACCTATGCTTAATAAAGGCTCATCATTAAAAACTAATGAAGTCAAAAGGCATAAATTAATACAGTTAAATATTCTTTCATCTTCACCTTCTGCCTCTGCTGCTGCAGTTGTTTGTCAATTAAATTGAACTGACCTCTCGATCTGCGCTATTTCCCTCTCAATTGTAAAAAATATCTCAAGAACTTCAGGTGTGCCAACAAATCTAGCAAATATGCTCAAAAACCAAGAATTTTTTTTTAAAACAACAAACACAAAAAGAGAAATGGAGAGTGAGGACTATAAGCAAGCAAACCAAAAATAATAAATAATTCAAAAATTACTCCAATATTGCTCTTTCATAAAACCACAACAATGAAGCATATTACTGATAATGAACTGCATAAATCTGACCTAAAATCACCATAATAAACAAAAATTAACAGAGTGCTAGATATCTAATGCAATCCACAGCCAAATGAGAAAGAGGGAAACCCGTAAAAAGTCAGCATACCCTAAAACCATAGCAATCAAAGAAATAAAAGTCTTGCGACC